AAATTCTTTATGTTCAATTTATGGTTCAATGAATTTGTTTGTTTAATAATAACCTTTCAAACAAGAAGGAAATACTATTTTTTAATTTGATATCATAACACGATATATTGGCGATCCTGGTGTATCCTGTGCAAACAAAATCAACAAATTTGCAAATGAGCAAAAAAAATCCACTAGATGCACTAACTCGTTTATCACTAAGGCATCAGGGTTTAGAAAAACCTTCGGGTCTAAAGGACGTTGATGATGAATACTTTTAAAAGAATGTGTTCTCTTGTTCAATTTTAAATAAGCATTCGGGACAGAATGACTCTTATGAACAGCATGGTCATGCAATTTCGTTGATAAATTTGGCGCAGGGCAATGCTTCCCACATACAGATGCAAAAACATCAAGCAAAACAGCAGTCAACGCCGCATTTAACGCAGGTTCAGCCAACTTCTCAGTCGACCCAACCATATCAAGCGCCAACGGAATTTGTATCGCATTAGCAACTACCACCACAATAACAATCATATGTGCAAGCATATGAACAACAAACGCAATTAATTAAACCATGCAATTTGCATCCAAGAAAGTATAATCAGGCCTCCAGCTACTACAACAATAACTAACGCAGCAACAGTCATAGAAATTATTTTAGTTTTGCTGTCACAGGTAACTAAGGAATAAAATTAGTGATGTTTTTATTTAAACAAACAAAAAAAAAGTTCGTGTCTGATATCTTTTGTTTATTTATTCAGTTTTTGTTAATGTTTTAAAAGTTACTCACTGACTTTGTTTATTTGTTTTTAAAATCAAATTTATTAACAAAAAAATAGGACCAAATTAATTTAAAAATTTATTAACAAATTAATTTATAATTAATTACAGATTTAACAATCTACCATTTTTAATGTAATTAAATTTTAAAACAAAAATATTTAAAAGAAATTTAGAATTATTAATTGCAATTAATATAAATAATTTTACATTAATATAAATAATTTTTATTAACATATACATAAATATTATTTGTGTTAACTAAAATTATTATTATTTATATTTATTTTGTATACTTCTTCACCAGTTTATTTCAAAATGCAAAGATCACCAATACGTACACGCAACTTCACAACAACAACAGAAAATCAACAATGAAAACCCAATACACACTTCAGACTTAAACATTTCACAAAATATACAAACTAATTTTTTTCCAAATGAAAATAACTTGAGTGCAAATTTATCAAAATCTATTAAGTTGCCTAATTTTTGGGAAGATTGTCCTGAAGCATGGTTTCTCCTTGTAGAAGGACAATTCGAAATTAACAACATACGTGATGATAATATCAAATTTCAAAACGTTTTAATTTTTCTTCAAAAAGAATCAATTTCTAAAATTATTGATGTTATTAATCCGCCTCCTTTGATTAACAAATATGAAACAATTAAGAAAGTTTTATGTGAAAGATTTTCTCTTAGCGAAGAGATGAGATTAGAGCAATTATTTTCAAATACCGAACTGGGTGATCGTTCACCATCAGTACTTTATAGACATATGAAATCCTTAGCAGGTTCCAAATCAATTATTAGTAAAGAACTTTTATTTAAATTATGGAGTAGGAAGTTACCGCAACAAGTACAAATTCATATAACTTCTTGTAGTAATCAAAGTACTGAAGAAATTATTTCTCTTACAGATAAATTATTTGATTTGATAAATAAACCTCAATCGTCTAAATCTTTTAATGTCGCTAGCGTAGAAAATAATAATAATATTCAGTGCATTAGAAATTTAACTGAGTTAACTACAGTCATTTACCAAAATCTTAACAAAATTACAGAAGATATTAATGAATTACAAATAAGCTCAAGATCAATAAATAGAGATAGAGATAGAGACAGAAGTCGTTCTATATTGAGAAATTTTTCTAGATCTAGAAACGATATTAACCAAAATATTTGTTGGTATCATAGAAAATTTAAAAATAATG